AAAGAAGAAAGGAAAAAAGAACAGGAACAATGAACATGAACGAACATGACTCCCTCCCGGTGTAATTTCACCCACAGTAGCGCGATGGATCGCGCGATCGCTGTGATCGCGCGATCCGGATCGCGAAGTCTGAACGCGCTCTTAGGGTCCTGTGGCATGAAAAATAGGGAGGGGAACGGCATCTTTTGAAAACTAGACCCTTTCAGCAATCGCTGACAATTTCCCTGCTGTTTGACTTAGGGCGGAGGGTGTCCTGGAGATATTGCAAGGCTCTCAGGATTTTGCGCGATACCCCGTGACTTACTGATTGACCCGGTGAAAAAATGGGGCCGAGGTCCAGAAAGATAGCGCGTCAGTAGAAAGATTGGCGCCGCCAATCACAGCGACTCTGGTTGAAGCACAAGTAATCGCTTCACTGTCATCAGCGTGTTGGCGGTCTACGCTAGCGGAGGTAGTTTCTTGTGCTTGTGCTCTACGAGACCCTCCTAAATCTACTAGTCCATTGAACTTATTCTGATGTCTTAATCTGACCTTCGAGCGAACAGTATCACGAATTATCTTTGACTCATCCACTATTCTCCTCCATTGACAACTCGGCAGATACCTCACAATACAGTTCTTTCGACCTACATTTGATCAGCATGGAGAACACATGGTTTCGTTTGCTTCTCAAAGAAGTCCTCAGTATGCCATAACATAGGGCTGCTATCGAGGATTTCGAGAAGGTGCTGTTCTACTTGTCCTTCGTCAGTGATGGGATTCCGCTGTGAGGACGGCCTTAAAGCGGAGCTGATCCCATCACTGACGCAGGTCCGGGACGCATCACGGCCGCAGGTCCGGACTCGACGCTATGGTCCGGGTGGTCGAGATCCTTCCCACGAACCTCAAGCAGCAATTGGTTCGCAATCGCTGGTATGATGGGCATTGCCTTACTCCCCCCCCCCATTTGTGTTATCTGCCCTCATGGGATGCAGGGTGACTGCATGACATCAGGTATGATCTATCTGATCTCATGCCCCCTCTGTGGGGAGGAGTACATCGGCGAAACTGGGCGACCACTTTGCTCCAGGGTGAAGGAACATCTGGACGGGTTGAAGAAATCAAGGCTTCAGACCCCCCCCGCCCGCTTGGTGGTCAGAGGTTGTATGGACACGGAGGTGCGGAGTTCCAAGTCTCTGTGAGGATCTTGACGCGAGAGCCCCACACTTCAACCCGCAAAACGTTACAGGCCTTCTGGATAGGCGCCACAAAAACCAAGTTGAACAAGAAAGAGACGAATGCCTAGCAAGTGTGCTCGCCCCATTCGCTGACCTGTGTGGACTTCAATCGCCATCGGCTTCGGGTCGAAGGGCTGGTCCGCTGAAGCCACTCACAGTGGATCAGTTTAGCGGTAGTCGAAACTCGACCTAGCCGTGCTCTCCTGACAATGAGGTTAGTTGTTTGTGCTTGCGAGCTACGAAACCACCCTAGAGACGTTTGGTCTATGGTAAGCTGCTCTTTAGTCTGAAATAGAATTCGGCGGTAGTTCACTTTCCAGGCACCGACCAAGGCGACTAAGCCGAAACGTCAGCCAAATAAATCTGTTAATATCTTGGCTGTGGTTTAAACATCTATTCAGGAAGACCTCACACGATGCCAAGAATCACTGAAAGTCGATAATGGATTAGGTTTAACAATCAATATAACGAACGGGAAAATCTGTTTTAAGTTGTATAATAAAACGGACAATTTGAGCTCCAATGTAATCAGATTTCCTTATAGTGACACAAGTATTTCCCTTATTAACAAGGCTTCTGTTATATACGCGGAAATATTACGGTTGGCAAACACCCGTTCGTTTTTAAAGGCAATTCCAGCGACCACAGTTTATAGGTAATACAGTTCAAAAATAATTGCTGTGATTGTTGACTTATTGAAGAGAAGGAACCACGAAAAAGCGCCCGCAATAAGACCCTCTTTATTCCAATTGATCATGATCCCCGGATGAGCGTAATGTAGTCAATATCAATTGTGAATGGCAAAAGGCGGCGAAACACTGATAAGAGACGAGAGAGGCCAGAAAATGACGGACGAGAGAGCGCAATGGCAGCCTCACAACGACACAGTCATTGGAGGCCGGCATGGGCCTATCGGGCGCAAATGGGCCTAGAACCTGAGCGCCCTGCGTTTTGCTTGCTGTTTTTCAACTCTTAGAAGCAGCGTAGCCTCAGGCGTTGCCTGCCTGATCACCGTGCACGGTTATAAGAACCTATCCTCAGTTTATCGCGGAACGTACCTTTACTATACCCATAAGTAAAATAAGGGATATGGTCACGATATTTTTGGAAACCTTATAATTACTAGCACTGTGAAAAACGTATTTATAAATTTAGAAGCTGCAGTGCCTCCATCGCAAATTACTATCACCACATATATATAATTCGCTTAAGGTCTGTGGTGTTTGTAAGTTTTGTTTGTTTGTTTGTTTGTTTAAGTCTTGTCTGTCGCGGAATATTCGGTTCGACCTGAAGAAACGCTTGGAGAGTCGGGTCAAAGGTGGGGATGGGTAGAGCATGGGACAATTAAAATAAAGCACATCCTTGACCTATGCGAAGCCCCGGCCCAAGACACACAGCTCGGGTCTCTGGCATCTCACGGCTGAAATTCTTCGGCGGTTGACACAGAAACAAATGTTTCATTCAACTTCGCCTCTCGGAGGCAGCTTCCTAAGGATGGGGAAAAGCGGAATAAGTGTTAGTAAGTGATCGCCGAGAACTCTGTGGCAGATACATCCAAAGATGGTGCGGGGCGTACTCAAAGGTGGCGGTGCTTCGTGCTTTCCCGCATGAAAAACTCAGTAACTCGGTTGCCGCGAGAGCTGTTCAGAAGCGCGCAAAAAAGCTCATGGCAGAATGTAAATATTTGGGCGAGATATTGGCACGCTCAAAATGTGCTGAGATCGCCCACATTTCAGTCCGGCGGACGCTTGCCTAAACCGCAGATACTGCATTTTTAAAAGGTTTGTATGCTCGGTTCAGCAGAGCACTGCAAGCGTCCAGAAAAACGTCGTGCGTCAAGGTTGCAAAGGTTCGCCGGTGAGGGCAGTAGGGCACAAAGTTGTGGCGCGAGCCTGCCTTCGAAAGTGGGCGGAGTCAGACGAAAGATCTGTAAATAGTTTCAGAGCACTCCAGACACGAAACAAATGAATCAAGGTCCCAGCAGAGGCCGTTGCCGCGATTGAGAAATGTGGGTATACACTTGTGGGCGGGCAGCCGAGTTTGGGCGAGCCAGAGAAAATTCTCTAAAACTGTCCCAGAGCACTTTCAAAGACCGGTAAGAAAACGCTGGATTAAGGTAACAGAGGGTCGCCGCGTGAGGAGCTCCCGTGGAAAAAAATTGGGGGCGGAGAGCCTGCCCGAAGTGGGGCGGAGTCAACGAAAGATCTGCAGAAACGGTCGCAGAGCACTTCAATAGACCGGGAAGAAACGTGGATTCAAGGTCAGCAGAGGGTCACACGTATCAGGAATGTGGGCGCACAAAAAAGATTTGGGGGCCGGAGCGGCTGTTTTCAGAGTGGGTCTTAGCACACACCAAAAATTCTGCCAGAACGCGTCCTCAGAAACACTTCTCAGACACCGGATAAAAAGGCGGTCATAAGGTTCAGGCAGCAGGGTTGGCCGGTGACAGAGTGTGGAGGCCGACAAAATTAGTGGGCGGAGGTCTGCTCTGAGGCTGGGCGCCCAGCAATCCGTCAGACGCAATGAATCTGTAAAATAGCCTCAACGAGTACTGTCGCAGCCCACCGCGAGGAAAGTGGAGTACCAGAACATAAAGTCGGTATATCAAGTTGAGTCTAGAACATGGTGCAGCAGAAGCGTACGCGCGGCGAAGCCGCGCCGCCAGGCGCAGCCGGGCCGTATCAGAAGGAGCCGCGACGGCGTCAGCCGGCGAGGCGACTGGTAGAAAGATAAGTAGAATGGTTAACGGTCTTCTCACTGGTGTCCAACACTAACTCTCACTCTGCCACTTCAATATTTTTCTTGTTTTAACTTTTGTAATCCGTTACAACAGAGTCTCTTACTCAATATTCCCTCAGTTGGTTTGGCCTATTAATAACAACCCAATTTCTTTCCTCACGTATTTGTTACTCACTTCGCGTGATATCCTTCGTGTATCTTTCTGATTCCTTTTACTTTTTCTGTCCCATTCCTTTTACATCATTTTTATTGCATGAATTTTAAATGTACACCTGTCTAACAATTTCTCTCGTTTTATCCTGTCCCTTCCCCTATGTAGTCCGTGTTCTCGTTTCGTCAACCCTATCGCACTGAAGAGCCTGGGGGTTGGTGAGACAACGATGATTCGCCTGCGGACAGGCGAGATGGATCATCAGTGCTTTGGAAAGCATCTAGAATATATTCTTTTCTTTGTTTCTAAATTTCTTCCAAACTTTCGCATTTTTAGGTTGTAGCAAGTGGCTCCGCCCACTGATAGAAGCCCCACGCACTTTGGATCCGGATCGGCAGGCTGAATTCCGAGCTGTCACGTTACGGTCTTCAGTCGCTACGTACAAACTTCTCCTTTTCGTTCTGTATGGCAGAAGACGCCACAGTAAGAACTCTAGCCTGTCAAAAAAAGGATTCGGTGGGACTTCAGAGCGATGTCGCCAGATACTGGCACAGCTATGGCGGCCTACCTAAACAACTCCAAAACGTGGATGATGTCACACCTGATTTCTTTCAGAAAGACTGAATTTCTTTCTACTCCTCGGCAATGCGAAGTGGCGGAGAGGCTGCGTCAAAAATCTACGGGTCATGCGACCGTACTCACTTATTAAAGACAGCCCCCGCGCTCGAGTAGTACATGGTCGTCCTTCGTTGTGCAAGAAGTATAGCCTCCAAGCTAAAGACTGTCCCACTCTATTCGTCTGCACAGCGAGCGAGAAGCGCCCCCCAGCCGCTGTAAGTTCTAGTCGCCCGCTCAGTTGGACCGCCTTACTTGCTAGGTGTCCTCCGACGGAGGCCAACTCAATTGTTTTCGTTAGTCGGGCCGCGGCGGGCATTGCTAATGCCAATGGATAATTCTAGCTGTCCCCTCCCCGTCTTACAGTAACCTCAATTGGACGGTATATACAGTTCAATTCAACTCATTTCGCGGGTGTAAACCGCGCAAAAAGCACGCAGTGACCAATTGTTCGTGATGCAAAGCTTGACGCACATAACGTACGCTACCTTAATCCCAAATTCAGACACCTCGTTGATAAAATTTTTCCTTCCAAGAGTTTTTCCTCTGCGTTTTTGTTGTTTTCTTTTTGTATTCCTTTTTTTGCACTGGATGATATCAACTACTGCGAGATGTGATAGAGAGATTTGTGAGGTAGAGGTTGCACAGAGACCGCAGGGAGGTGTGACTGTGAGGGAGCGATTTTGTTTATGTTGTTCTGGAGGACGCTTCTTGCCAGTTTTCTTCTTGGGGAGATTATTTATCAGTTACTGTTTCATAATTGGAAAGCAGCTATCCATGAGACTTTGCTGTCTTTGAAGGAACTTAGCAGCCTCTAATTATCAACTGTCTGAGTCCCTACTGCATTCTTTGGAAAGCAAAAATTAAAACCAACGCCCTCTCGAAAACGAGATCCACCTCTTTTTTTCGTAGTAGTAGCCG